ACGATCCTTCGCAGTAAAGCACTATTTGAGCAATAGTGAAAATCAGACCTGAAAAAAATTTCAGGCCTGTACGGGATTCGAACCACTGACCTCTGCGATACTAGTGCAGCGCTCTACCAATTGAGCTAACAAGCCAACTGGGAGCAGGCCATCAAATTAATTCGACATAAACCCGTAGATGATAAATCAAACAACAAACATATGAAATACATATATATGAACTGCGGTTATGAAACGTATATGTGCACGATCCTTCGCAGTAAAGCACTATTTAAGCAATAGTGAAAATCAGACCTGAAAAAAATTCAGGCCTGTACGGGATTCGAACCACTGACCTCTGCGATACTAGTGCAGCGCTCTACCAATTGAGCTAACAAGCCAACTGGGAGCAGGCCATCAAATTAATTCGACATAAACCCGTAGATGATAAATCAAACAACAAACATATGAAATACATATATATGAACTGCGGTTATGAAACGTATATGTGCACGATCCTTCGCAGTAAAGCACTATTTAAGCAATAGTGAAAATCAGACCTGAAAAAAATTCAGGCCTGTACGGGATTCGAACCACTGACCTCTGCGATACTAGTGCAGCGCTCTACCAATTGAGCTAACAAGCCAACTGGGAGCAGGCCATCAAATTAATTCGACATAAACCCGTAGATGATAAATCAAACAACAAACATATGAAATACATATATATGAACTGCGGTTATGAAACGTATATGTGCACGATCCTTCGCAGTAAAGCACTATTTAAGCAATAGTGAAAATCAGACCTGAAAAAAATTCAGGCCTGTACGGGATTCGAACCACTGACCTCTGCGATACTAGTGCAGCGCTCTACCAATTGAGCTAACAAGCCAACTGGGAGCAGGCCATCAAATTAATTCGACATAAACCCGTAGATGATAAATCAAACAACAAACATATGAAATACATATATATGAACTGCGGTTATGAAACGTATATGTGCACGATCCTTCGCAGTAAAGCACTATTTAAGCAATAGTGAAAATCAGACCTGAAAAAAATTCAGGCCTGTACGGGATTCGAACCACTGACCTCTGCGATACTAGTGCAGCGCTCTACCAATTGAGCTAACAAGCCAACTGGGAGCAGGCCATCAAATTAATTCGACATAAACCCGTAGATGATAAATCAAACAACAAACATATGAAATACATATATATGAACTGCGGTTATGAAACGTATATGTGCACGATCCTTCGCAGTAAAGCACTATTTAAGCAATAGTGAAAATCAGACCTGAAAAAAATTCAGGCCTGTACGGGATTCGAACCACTGACCTCTGCGATACTAGTGCAGCGCTCTACCAATTGAGCTAACTAGCCAACTGGGAGCAGGCCATCAAATTAATTCGACATAAACCCGTAGATGATAAATCAAACAACAAACATATGAAATACATATATATGAACTGCGGTTATGAAACGTATATGTGCACGATCCTTCGCAGTAAAGCACTATTTAAGCAATAGTGAAAATCAGACCTGAAAAAAATTCAGGCCTGTACGGGATTCGAACCACTGACCTCTGCGATACTAGTGCAGCGCTCTACCAATTGAGCTAACAAGCCAACTGGGAGCAGGCCATCAAATTAATTCGACATAAACCCGTAGATGATAAATCAAACAACAAACATATGAAATACATATATATGAACTGCGGTTATGAAACGTATATGTGCACGATCCTTCGCAGTAAAGCACTATTTAAGCAATAGTGAAAATCAGACCTGAAAAAAATTCAGGCCTGTACGGGATTCGAACCACTGACCTCTGCGATACTAGTGCAGCGCTCTACCAATTGAGCTAACAAGCCAACTGGGAGCAGGCCATCAAATTAATTCGACATAAGCCCGTAGATGATAAATCAAACAACAAACATATGAAATACATATATATGAACTGCGGTTATGAAACGTATATGTGCACGATCCTTCGCAGTAAAGCACTATTTAAGCAATAGTGAAAATCAGACCTGAAAAAAATTCAGGCCTGTACGGGATTCGAACCACTGACCTCTGCGATACTAGTGCAGCGCTCTACCAATTGAGCTAACAAGCCAACTGGGAGCAGGCCATCAAATTAATTCGACATAAACCCGTAGATGATAAATCAAACAACAAACATATGAAATACATATATATGAACTGCGGTTATGAAACGTATATGTGCACGATCCTTCGCAGTAAAGCACTATTTAAGCAATAGTGAAAATCAGACCTGAAAAAAATTCAGGCCTGTACGGGATTCGAACCACTGACCTCTGCGATACTAGTGCAGCGCTCTACCAATTGAGCTAACAAGCCAACTGGGAGCAGGCCATCAAATTAATTCGACATAAACCCGTAGATGATAAATCAAACAACAAACATATGAAATACATATATATGAGCTGCGGTTATGAAACGTATATGTGCACGATCCTTCGCAGTAAAGCACTATTTAAGCAATAGTGAAAATCAGACCTGAAAAAAATTCAGGCCTGTACGGGATTCGAACCACTGACCTCTGCGATACTAGTCAGGGGTTTGATTTTCACTATTGCTTAAATAGTGCTTTACTGCGAAGGATCATGCACATATAAGTAGTATCGTCGTATGAAATTGGAAACTTATTATTTCTATATTTTCGTAAAATACAAAAACAGTATACAGTTTGTGAGATTTGAAATTGTAGTCTCGGGATTCTAGTACTGGTTGTATTCAATTGGACAGAAACATTTTTCTGAATTAGCTTCCCTCATCCAAAGCTTCCCATATTCAAAGCTTAACGTTTTATAGCTAAGACAGGCACGAAATTTTTCCTCTCCATTTTTCAAGTGCTTTTTTGATATTGGCAACGGAAACGATGAAGCAAAGAATACCATTTGTAACTCGTTTTCCTATCCAGTGACAATGCATCTATCATGGAAAAATGTTCTTTAGAAGGCATGGTATGTTGTAATATTTCAGGTATGTTTAGTTGATATTTAATAAAATACGGTTTAATAAAGATGCTGTTTTCGGGCCAAATTGTTAACTTTATCGTTGATGTCGTAAATTTGACATGTTGGTGTTATTTTCTTTTTAATGGATCTCCATGTTACTATTGCATGAGAAAGGGGGAGGGGATGGGGGAAAGTTTACTTGCGTTTGACACGCACTGGACCTAACCCAGTAGATAAAACTCTATCCATTGTACGTTCTGTTGATACTGAACCATTAAATAGCGTTATCCGGCATTGCAAAACTGGGTCCAGGCTCTCTGGCCTCGGTCATTCAACATTGCGACATAGCGCAGGTCCTGAGGCCCGGTAAAACTTACGACTTTCTACATCCTACGAAAAACCCCTCGTGTCCTCTAGAGGCTTCTTCTCGAGCTTTCCCAAATTTTACACGGTCCGCAATACAAGGTACCTGGCTGGGATAGATTCTGGTATAGTCAGTTATGGCTGATCATCTCATGATCAGACCAAAAGCATTTTTTCTGTAATCTCCCTACTTCACCCTATCTAGACACTGCAGTGAAGGTCGTCACAACAGTCTGTCTTTCACTCTCAGATTTATTTACGTCTTTTTGACTTAAGTGTATAGTGTTGCACCCCGCGTAGACCACACAAGAGAGAAAGTAAAAAAGGAATTGACATATTCTACCTGTAACGCTCCCCCAGAAACACTCGCGCAGGCAGTTCTTACCCTTTAACTTAACGTTTCTTAGTATGACTGCCTTTGTGAGAATTTGCAATGAGAAAAAAAGTGTTCAATGTCCTGTGTTCTTAACGACTTTAATGAACACGAATACATCGAACAGTTTGTGGGGTTATTGCAACAGCACTCGGTTAAGGTCATACCCGTACGAGCCGGGGGGGCGGGGGGGGGGCTGCAGCCCCCCTCAGCTGCGGAAATTATGTAATTTTTCGGGCAAAACGCTCTTGATTCGGGCAATGACATTTGGGAGAAAACATTATAAAAATAATGCCGTTGGCGTGATTTCCAAAAGTCGTAAATAAAGTTTCTAGTTAATTACTTTTCAGGTGATTAGATGCCCGAAAGGGGTGTCTTCAGAGATTTCGTAATTTGAATAATATCGTGTAAAATATAAAGTGTATCATTTCGGTAACATCTGCTGCAGTTTGTGCCTAATTTTCGCGCCAATTTCGCGGAGAGCGGGAAAACATTTTGACGAGTTCACATGAAGGTTTAGGTTTCCTCGATGAAGTTCGTTCGATTCGTTGTGAAGCCCGTGGACTTAAAAAGGTTCAAGAGGACGTGAAAAACTTAGGTGACTAAAGGTCAAGCGGCCGTCAAGGTCAACAAGGCGAAAGGTAAATACTACACAAATTCCATTAAGTAATTCGTTTATTCTATTCGATCGATTCTATCCGTAAATCTGAGTATTAAAGTATCACATAATACGAGCTGATGTCACCCAGCTGGTAACTACCAATCATTGGCAGCTTTCAATGATAGCAGTTTCATTAGATGGGAAAATGGTGAACGTCTCCGTTTGCATCCCGATTTCAACCCTTAACCTTTCGGGCATTGCGTGTTTTTTTCGGGCAAGGAAGACCACCCCCCTCCCCCCCCCCCCTCAAGTCCAAAGGTGCCCGTACGCGTTTGGTTAAGGTTACGGTGCACCTTCAGGGGTGTCTCGCGTGCAAGCGATGTAGTACGTCCGGTTTAAACTGTAGATATCTAAACCCCTATATCAAATTAAAGCTTATAGGGCTGGCTATCAGACTATACCAAAAATTTTGAAAAAAAAATTAATTGTCGAATTTTTCACGACTTCTAAATGCGAGCGCCCGAATCACCTTTCAAGAGCTACAAGTCAAAGGGAATTGTTCGATTGCTCTCAAATTTTGACGGATGTGTGTGTGTGTATGTGTGTGTGTGCGTGCGTGTGTGTGTGTGTGTGTGTGCGTGCGTGTGCGTGTGCGTGCGCGTGTGCGTGCGCGTGCGTGTGCGTATGTGTGTGTGTGTGTGTGTGTGTGAGAGAGAGAAATTTGAGTTGTATCTTGGTTAAATGCACCATGGTAGAAACGTTGCCCTATCCAAACAAACTCCAGCTTTTCCGATCTTTTTTTATGCACAAGACACAAGCACCTGAGCATATGAGTTCATCATGACACCGTGAAAACTCTACGGTTTACTCAAATAAATTTTGTTGGAAGATTCCCCCATCCCGGAATTTAGCTGCTATTTATACCTGAAGCATATCACCAAATTTTCAAAAAAAAAAAAAAAACCTCTTATTATGGCAATGAAAGGGTATTGATGTTAAAACAGTCTAAGCATTTGTCTCTTCAGTAACCAGTTAAATCAAATCTGCAGTTTTGACGGTTACGAATTTATCAGTAGAAAATTTTCCGACCCTTTCCATACCTGAAAATCTTTGCCCCTTCATTAGCTCTTAACCTGCAAGGTTGTACGTATACCTCTTTCCACGGTGTAGGAATTAACGCACTTTTAATTACGTTCTCTTTAGATTTATTTCTTAGTTGGCTACACTAAGCATTTCTTTCTTATCTGAATGTGTTATTAGCCACTCCTTTTGGTCACTTTTTGTTCTTTGTTTACTTTTTAAAATAAAAATTTCAGTAAGGCATTTGATTCGCAAGATGAGAAGCAGCTCAAAGAATCTGAAAGTACGGCTTCACTTCTTGAACTAGTCCAGGTAGGTTTTTTTGAACTTTTAATTGCTACCAACACGACCTGTCGTGACCATTTTGTGATGTGAAAAAGCTGACGCTATTTAACCCAGTAATGTTGTAGTTCTTCCAATGGCTGAAAGCTGCAATGTTGCTCTCGAATCAAAAGGAGCGATCTGCTCTAAACAGTTCATAAAGACATAACGACTTTTTGGTTCTTACAGCCGGACTATTTGCGATTTTGTTTAAAAATCAGCGGCTAATAAGATGGTAATTTGGCTTTGTCAACCAAGTTAATGATGTAAATTGGCCACCATAAAGGTTTAAAAGCCGACGTTTCGAGCGAATTGCGCTCTGACGAAGGGCTAACGCTCGAAACGTCAGCTTTTAACCCTTTACGGTGGCCAATTTAAATAAATTCCTTGTTAAGCTACACACCTTTTCTTTATTTTATTTTATTTTTAACTTATCTAAATTTTCATTCAGCACCTTTGATTTGTATGGTTTATCCTATAGTTTAAGGAAGCCTATACTTTATAAGCCCCCGGCTTCTAATAGGCTTCCTTGCTGTTACCTCTTAAGTTCCTTTGATATTGAACTTAATTTAGGTAGAATAGTTCTTTCTATCTTTGATGTATCATAAATTTTGTATTCGGTTAATTTTTTTCTGGTGATGGCAAATAAAATGAATGAATGAATGAATGAATGAAGGAAAATTTACATTATCAACTTAGTTGATAAAACCAAATTACCTTGTTACCCCCACAGACATAGCACCACAGTTTCTTAAACTTTCCCCCTTTGTTTATTTGGCTCCTAATGTGGATTGGTTTTTCTTTTACCTTAAGTGTTGGTTGGAGAGAACTCCTGGTCTTGAAGAAGATGGGTTTGATTTTTGGAGAAAATACAAGAAGAGTGTTCAAACGATGGTTGAAACTCAAAAGGCTGAAGCCGAGGTTCGTTTGTCTTTTGATGTTTTGATTACAGTCGAAATTGTTTCAGCAGATTCGCGCGCAAGCACACGGTGATGCTAACTTGTGCGCTCCTTTTTTTTGCCTCTACATCTTCTGTCGATACTTTTCAAGTGCTTTCGGAAAGCACCGACGGCCGACGAAAAGTGTCGGCTACTTCGCTCAGAGAAGTCGGCTACATTTTCCCTAAATTTAAATAATTAAAGAAAGATTATTTGAAAACTAAATTAAAATTCATTTTGATGGGCTTGTATGAAATTTTTACCTCAGTTTCAAAATTAAATAATTATCAAAAGGTCGGCTCGTTGGTCACGACACTCGACTCGTTTTGGGGTGGTGCTAGGACGCAAGAGGTTTACGAAAAATTTAACTGCGTGCAAAGTATGTAATCTAATTACCGTCATTTGTTTATTGTGTTCAGGAGTTCATTGTGGCCTGATAAATTGAACCTTGAATGAAAGCTGCATTTTCTTGAATGACAACCACGCATGCGTGTTTCATGGTATTACAAAAAGAACAGAACTAAAACAAATCTGACGCTCGATTAAGGTGGCTCGTACCGGTTTTCGTCTTTTTGATGGTTTGTAACTTTGAAAGAATACAACAGAAAGACTGACCAAGGCCAGTTGAACACTTTTACGGGGTTGAATTATTTAATCATTGGTTTAA